AAAGTAAAGTACACCTTTGAATAGTATCGAGAAATGTGGTTTCAATACTGGAAATTTTTGGGATAGCCTTCAAATGTATTTTTTTTATTTAATTATAAAATTTAAAACTTTAAAAATAGAGTAGATTGAGCTGATTTATGAAAACTTAAAAATTTTGAAAATTGACGATCCAAAAATCATTACAAGATGCACTAGTTTCAAAACTCAAATTCCATTGTTTTCTCACGTTCATGCATCTTGTCAAGATGGTCAATTTGAAGATATTTGAGCATCACAACAACTTCTTCTAGTGAAATTTTTAATGTCGGCTCTAATTTGATTGTTTAGTGACTCGACTCTATATAAATTTTTTCATATATATATATATATATTAGGGTGTTCAGTATAAAATAATTTATTATTGTACTCCATAAAATTTAGACAATTATATATATTTGTTTTATATAGAGTAATAAAGGTATTTTTTATCATTATAAGGGTATGATATTATCCACGTGGGTCACATCACCTATATAAAGCATTAAATAATACTCGGGTCAAAATTAATGATTAGATAGGTAAATATTATTGAAATCATATTATTTGACGCTATTTGGAGGTGTGCATTACTTCGTTGTTTCGGCGCTATTAAAACGTCACCCAAAAAAAAAAGAAAAAAAAAAAAAACAAAGAGGCGAATGTTCAAATTGGGGGATCCATCATAGGTAATTTTCCTGAGAACATATGACAATTATTCATTCATGCACCAGAAGACGTAAAGCTCCCCTCTCTCAGTAGCGGACCATGGCTTGTTTAGGAGGCGGACCTTGCAGTGGTGACGGGGGTGCTTGTGGCGGCAGGACGCAACGCCAGCGGTCATCACTGCCTCCATCATCAACTGGCATTGCAAATACTAAGCTTTGCTGCAAGTGCCAGGAGAGAGATGGAGTGGCAAAGGCGAATCAGACCGAGTCTCTTTGCCCACCCTGTCTCCGTTCCTCTCTCTTTGCCAAGTTCAAGCTTGCCGTCACCTCTCACGCCATGATCTCCCCAACTGATAAACTCCTCGTCGCCTTCTCTGGTGGCCCGGCTTCCAGGTATCTCTCGCTCATTCATTCTCTCTTTCCTTTCTCTTCTCTCTCTTGATGAGTATCTATTTAAATGGCATGTAATAATCCTATTTCTTCCTCTTTTGATAACTTTCTCTTTTACAGAGAATTAATTGACATAATGGTTAGGATTGATCGGGAAGGCATATCGCCTTTTTTTCAGTGCTCTTTTATGGTCTAGAAGTAGTTCAATTGTCATAAAATTGTTTTCGTTTTTGAGTTTTTGTTCTGATTTGAAGAGACTCGATGAATTCCTCTGTGAAAAAAGAAAAACCAAAGGAAAAAATAGTGGGCGTAATGTTATGGTTAAAGTGCCTAGACCACTGTTCTCTAATGAGTTTATGCTTGATGCTTTTCATGCTCTAGTTCACAAGACCATTTACCAGAAATATGTGAATCTGCTGTCCACTTCATACAGACAATTTACTCATCGAGTACAAACCCTATAATGATTTTGTTAGAATACAGTTTGAGTAGAGCTTACTTCTTCTAGGTAACATAGTTATTTTGAGGAGTGAATAAGATTCAGTTGTGGTTCTAATGTTTTCTCTTGTAATTTGGCCACAATCTCCCTGAAAAGTTCTGGCAATTTTTATGTGATTCGGATTGTCAAAACTTATTATTTCAATACAGATAGCATAATATCAAACATATATGCTATAAGAAGGCAATCCCCCTGAAAAGTTCTGACTGTTTTTCTACAATGTGGATTTTCGAAAGTTCAAAACTTATAATTCCAATACAGTTAGCATAATATCAAACAGATATGGTATAAGTGGGCGGATTGTGTAAATGATTGAATATCAGTTTTTTTTTTTTTAATATATGCAACCATCCAAATTCCAACAGTTACCATAAGTTATATTTAAGTGTTTACAGGAGGTGAATGTCACCCTCTCTTTCTTAATATTTAGCATATAAACTCATGTGGCCTTAGGTAAAGTGTGTGTGGGTATGTTGAAGGAGCTCTTTTTAGTGGTTCTTTAGGATGGATTTAGACTCTATGATTTCTTTCTTTTAGGTAGACACTTGAGCCATTTAAAAGTTCCGAAATTTGTACAAGATCCGTCTCCTTGACAATCCAAGGTAGCCTTCATCAAATATGAAGCCTTCTATCGATGGTGATTGTTTTGTAGGAGAGACTTAGTGGTAGCTTTTGGGCATGCCATGGATAGATATCCTACTGGCAATTAACAATTCAAAAAGAAAACATAATATGCAATGGTTCTAATTCCATTTTAATCTTTTATTTGTAAACTAATGGATGTTCAAAAATTAATGATTACATTTATGATATCTTAGCTGTTGGATTTGGAGTCTGTCCCTTGTTGGTGCAGGATGTCCATAAAATTTTCAGAATTCTTGGTGGCTAATAGAAAGAGGGATGTCCATGGGATTATTGGACTTGTTAGTTAGTGGTAGAGAGAAAATATATGAGAATCCATTTTATATAGGATTTCAAATAAGGTATAAGCTTCACTTGAGAAATATTATTCAAAAAAGGTAAGATAACTCCATTTTGAATAAGAAAAGCTTCTTCTTCATCCATTCCTCCTGAAGGTGTAAATGTTGAAGATGGATATAATGGTGATGCAAAGGGTGCTAATAATAATAACATAGTGGTGGCTAATGAAAAGGAGGTTGCCCTTAATGGTGAAGTGAAGGAAACTATTTTGCACTTGACAAAAGATGAAAATAATTCATATGGTGTAGACTCTAGAATTCGGTTTAGTGATTCAAAAATACAATTAGGAGACAAGACGCCATCTTTTACTGACTCTACTCACTCCAATTCAAGCTTTGAAAATGATAGACAAAATGGGACAGTGGATGTAAAAGCGAATGAGATAGAAAGAAAAAGAAAACATATGGAGAATTTCATGAGGTGAATGAAGCCCCTAAAAAGTAACTTCTTTCTCTCACCTAAAGCTCCCCTCTTTCTTTTAGTTTTTTCTCTAGAAGCCCTAGAGTGAAGAACCCATAGGTGATCCAAAAGCTCTCGGAGCTTCCATCAAAAGCTCAGGATTTATACTTTGTATACGACACTACCGGTTCTAATAATCAGTAGTCGGCCTGAGGATGTTAGCATCAAAATCTCGAAATGGAGGATACACGCGCGAAGAGAACGTAATGATCACATCAACTGCACATGAAGAATCGAATTTGAAAAAAGGTATGTGATTTCTATTTGATCTGCTACTTTTTTTGTTTCTGCTACTTCAGATATTCTCCTTAGATTCCAACATTGGTATCAGAGTGGATGTTACCATTAAATATGGTTATGACGTCAGTTTTGGTCCAACAATCTGGGGCTTCCCTCATCCCAAGTGCGTAGAGCATATAATGAATCAACATGGTCTAATCTAGAACTCATGATGACCAAGGTGACCCTATACACACCGATCCCTTAGTGATGTTCCCCATCCAATACTCGCGCCTCCCACTTGAATAAGGAATATTGACGAACCCATCTTCCTCCCATGCCATTTTTTGATGCTCCCAATTTCACAATCCATCATCATCATTTGAGCCTTATCCCAACTATTTAGGGTCGGCTGCATGAATCTTGTTATGTCATTCTGCTCATAGGTTTAGGATTCATGACAAGATTTAACAAAGTTTTACGTTGAGTGCCTTACCTAACACAAACCTCCTCCTTTACCTGGCTACATCTCTTCTTGGAAACCAACTGAAGACATTTTGGTGACCTTGACCAAGACCAATAGGATGAAATTAGTTTGTCGAGTTGATGAGGCCTTCAAATAATTGTAGATCCCAGTTCCACGAGAGAAGTGAGACATGCCTAATGCTAATGCCATTAGACCACTTTCATTCAACATAGACAAACTAGGGAAGAATTAGGATTGCTAGTAGTATACAAACATTCTTGAATGACACCCTTATTTCAGAAAATGTATTCATGATTTTTCATATTTGCAAAATTTAACATTCACAAATACAATGCATAAAAATATTACTCATGTTTACTTTCACAAAGTCAGGGAATGTATATTGTGTTAAGAGTCTCATCCCTATTTTCTTCTATGTATAGAAATCTGGGATTTCACAAAGCATGTATTAACTGTTAGCATCAGAAATTTCATTTTTCTTAAATAGTATCATCAAGGACTCCTGAAATTCTCAAAAATACTGCACGTAAATTTCTCAATAACTAATAAGGAATATGTACTTTTACTATATTTAGACATGTAACAGTAATACAACATGATGTTTTCAATTCACAGATAAATTTGTATCATAGGATTTGGAAGGGGTCACAAATGTGTACATGATAAAATCACAAATTAATGCAATGCACATTTGCTCCTTCCCTGTGCAGGAAAAAAAATACATACAGTTAATCATTCATGTGCATGACATTCTGCACTGGTCCTCATACATGTTACTTTACATAAAATTTCAAGGACCGGAGCTAAGAGGCATCTATCCTTCTTCATAAGTGGAATGGGATGTGATAGCCCTAACCCAATAACAAACATAAGAGGGATGGCGCCCATCCATATGGTAAAAGGGGTAACTCGAGGACCAACATGACTTTTCAGTCTCCATTCCTATGGAATCTAGCAATATTCCATTCTTGTCTATGAATGGGGCACAATTGCACTCCATCCAAATAAAAATGAAAAATAAGAATACAAGTGCTTGAAAATAAAAGAATTTTGCTTGCTTTTTGAGGCAACATGATAATCATTTCAAATGAGAAAAAACTATTGTGGGAGGAAGTAGGACATGTTATGGAGTGGATGGTATGGGTTTGGGAACACTTATTTTGAGAGTGGGTACAATTTTCCTTTGAAGAATTGCTCCTTAAACATGGTTCCAGAGAGGGAGTCCCATGCAACTAAGGTAGGAAATAATGCAAACACTACAACTAAAAGCATGGTAATAAGTACCCTAAAAACGAAAAAGGAAGAAAAGTGTATGCATCAATTACATATGAAATTTACATGAAATTTGCTAATTGCTTTCATGTGAATTCACAATCTTCTATAATTTAATAAGTGAACATGGATCACACCTTCTTTTGAATTTTCCTATCACTAGTAACAACATCTATATAATAGCTACCTTGATGGATCTACACAATTCTGCAATCCAACTAATGGAGAATGAATGAGCATAATTGAATAGATGGTTCATGCATTCACGAGTGAAGTAGTAGATCTATCCCGTGATCTTAGTATGTTAAGGTTGACTTTTCATATTGGATAGCTTTGCTTGCCTCACCTCCGTTCACTACCAGCATCCTCAACCTCCATGGACTCTTTTTTCTTGGAAATGCTGCCACTGGGTTAGCCCTTTTGGTTTGCTGCTACCCTTGGGCCCACCCACTTTGGCAAGCAAGTTAGTGCTATCACTCATAAAGCAGCATCATGCTTCTAACCCTAGATGTTGAGATAAGTGATACTCCAAAAAAGCAGGATCAATATCTCCATTTGGTCCTCGGAATGAGGAAGTGACTAGTGCACAAACACTATTTGTGCTTGCCACTAGCATCACTCATGTCACATATCTCTGTGATTCTTTCTCTCAAATGCTCCTTCATGGAGATATTTGGTGGCCCATTAAATGCCCACATGAGTGCACGCATTACAGAGCAACCTTGTCTTATATGCCTGACTATTGGAAAACTTTTAGACTGACATTTTTGGATATTGTGCATGCCACTCAATATAGGGTAGTATGCACAATGATCATTACTGATCCATGCCTGACAAGTCTCCATCTAATGACAAGCCTAGGTTATGTACCCTTTCCTCCAGGGGGTCCATGCTGAAGTTTTGATTTCCCAATACTGCTTGCTCATCTAGCATTTTCCCAGTACTGCTTTCTCTTCTAGCATTACTTGGAAAAACACATATCAAAAGGCTTCCATTGTCAAGCATTTTCCCTTTAAGGATGTGGAAATGCCCTAGCAATTTATGACTGTGAAAGTGGAAGGAAAAAATACAGTAAATTAATAACAT